GGTTACGCTGCATAATGACCGGTTGATTGTCATATTTCAGCTTCTTCTGGAAATAAACCAACTTCAAATCAAAAGCAAGAGCAAGACGAGGAAGAAGAAGAAAGAGATGGAAGAGCAGTAGAAGCAGCAAATGAATGTTAGATAAAAGTGTCTGATAATTAAATTTGATTACAAATAGAAGAACTATATTCTTTTGTTACTGATCAGTTAAGAGTATGTATAGTTTTATTCTTCATTCATTCAAAACAACAAATGTTGGCACAACAAAAAGTGACTGCACATGTAAATAGATTGAAAAGTGAGTAATACCACAACGCATGAGAAGTAAAGTGGGTAGATGGTGTCTGTGTGGAAGTATTGTGTCCAAGTAGTGGTATGTGACACTTGTTGACTGTTGATTCAGTGTGAAAGGTTTATCCTGTGCCCTCACATCTTGAAGTAAGTAAAAAAAAGAACCTCTTTGCTTTCAGATTTGTTCCTATTCTTTGTTTTCACGTTCAGTTAAACTTCAGGTAATTCTGCCATTAAGCTACTAAAAAATTGGAATAAAATGTTTCTGTGTTTTCTTGCACATGTTTTAACGGCACATTTGTTGTGACCCATACTCCAAATGTGTCTGTTCTACTGGAGAGAAGTCTGACAGAGTGAGTGTGAACTAGCTAAATAAGACAAAGGAAATGGTAGACATCAGAATTATAAAGATGGTAATACAGATAAGCTTGTTGCTGGGGGTAGGTAACAAAATGTCCTGCCATACTTCATGTTGATACCGTCCCGTTATGGACTGTATGATGCATTTGACAAATAAAGAACCTTGAACCTTGAACCTTGATATTATCTTGCTAGTAGTAAAAGTCCGAAAAGCTCCACTTGAAATGAGCAAAACCCCATAAAAATCTAGGCTGAGCACCTGATCCTGTTTACAGTTTTAGGATTATTGTATCTGTACAAAGTTATAGACCTGATCTCAAAGAAGTCTTCTTTAGCAACTGAAGAAAATACAGTATTTAAGAGCTGCTACAGCCTGTGCAGCTATATCAGTGTCATCCATGCTTGTTGCCACTTTTATGTTTTACTTTGCAGATCACATTAGCTAAGTCTGCTAAAAACTGAACCACAGACTTGCTTGACCAGTAAGTATGAGTCTGTAAGGTGTAAGGTCCAGCCGATTGGAGCACTGGGGATAGCAGTTGTTATAATGTAGCAGTGCCTTTTAATCGTGTTTTCATCTAACAAGAAGCAGTTCTTGCTACCTGGTAGTGAATAACTTGTGTTTACCTCATCAGATGAATTTCCCAGGTAGACATGTTCATTTCAGTCCTAACACTCTACCTATCCTTACCCTCAGCACAGCTTTCCTCCACCTATGTAAGGAACAAAAAGCCACATAAGGCTGAAAAGAAGCTAGTTTTCAATATCAAAGTGTAAATGGAAAATTTATTTATTTACTTTCTTTAGCCTTCCATCTGTAGCACTAAATGTCTGTCCTTTAACTATTTGCTCAAAACAGTATGATTTTGCTGTTATGAAGAATTCAGCGAAGAGAAGGAAGAAAAGCTGTGGCTTTGAACTCTGCAAAAACTGAGAAAGACGAGACTAATCTGAGCTTTTATTTTTCTGTATTTCTGTGTAAAATATTGAACAATTTTATGTCTGTATGTCCAGTGTGATAAAGCTATTTGAAAAGTCCCATTGATAGAAACTTACACAAATTCCTAAAACAGCATGTTCTGTAAAGTTTTAGAGGAGCAACACAGTAAGTACACAGTAAGAATGAATGTACTTACTGTCTAAAATTAAACTTCCTGTTAATAATTTCACATATTGCATATGATATAAAAGTCTTTGGCCACCCCTCATTTTCAAATATTCATCAAAATACACAATTAGAGAAATTCAGCTGTCGAGGCAGTCCACACTGTTACAGTAATTTTGAGATTCATGCTCTAGGGAAGACAATCTGTGACCTCCAGTATAAGTTTTTCTATCCAGGTACTATTTTACTGTGTTTGCAGTGTGTTTGGAATCATTGTAATGCTGAAAAATGAAACTGTTGTCAGTCAGACACATTTCAGATGGTACTGCATAATTGTTGGTACTTTGCTACATTTAGAATGATTATATGTCGTAATGATTTGTCCTTTGCAAAGTTGTCTGTTATGTGTAGACATAACACTTGTGTCATGTTTGTGTGCGGTGTTCAAGGGATTCAAAGGTCAGTATTAAGTGGCTTAACAAAATAAAAGCTAAACAAAACAAATAAAAAAACAAACAACATTCACCTGAAAATGGCCAGATATGAGAACTGGACTGAAAAAAATTAAATGAAATTAAAAGGAAAGAAGAAAAACTTTGAACTGTTGCTAAGACTGAGGCATGGCTCGAGTGTTTTGCACAGTACTGTACAATGTTGTTTGGTTTTTGTTCTTTGTTTTCTGTGTCTTTGTTTGTGCAGCTTTTCAGTCATCCAGGTCATGGGAGTACTGTCGTATTTCAAATGCAGTTTAATCAGCCTGAAACACACTGGCTGTTCAAATGTCTTGCTTACCTCATGGCACACAGGTTGAGAACTACTGGTCCACCAAACAATAAATCTAAATGCTAAAGGCTATTAATTGAAATGTTATAGCTTTAAGTTGCTCGGCTTTTGTTCCATTACTGGGAGAGGGAACAGCGGTGATGGCTGCTACTAAGTTTCCAGGAAGTTGGATTGTTAGCATGGTAACCCTGTAATTTAAGGTGATCAGATGAACTCTATCTACTAAATGCCAGCATGACAGCATTTAGCTCAATTCAGTGCTGTACTAACTTTCAAATTCACACAGAGTACAGCTATGCTAGTAGCTCTTAACAGCATATCCTACAAAACACAGACTGTATATAAGATGGATTTATATTCTGATAATTTTAAGTGGGTTTTCATTAGATAAGTTGAAACCATAGGTGATAGGGAACTAGTATTTTCTTGGTACCCATGCTTAAAGGTACAGTGTGTAAAATCTCACCACTAGGTGTCAGTAGATTGCATATTGAACACAAGAATTTCACTCGCATGTGCTGTGCCAGTGTGCCTGCACATGTGATGTGACAATAAAAAGTGATTTGATTTGATTTGATTTATTGAAGTGAAGTGAGTTCTGTTTTCTTATAAGTCTATGAGAATGCATCAAATTCTTGGAAAATGTTACTCCACAGTAGACCATGTATATTCAATATTCAAAATATTTCTGACTCACTAGCGCTTTGAGGGCTCCAGAACAGTAGAAAAGCGCTATATAAGAATCAGTCCATTTACTATTCCCTAGTGATAACTGACTTGTGACTGACAAGTCACAGATGAGCTGGTTGTTACACTGTTACAAAATAACGTTGCAATTGTTACTGTACGTTCTAAAACTGATACAATTGATAACACTTTAAATAGCATTATAACTTTAGTAAAATACATGTATTTACATTGTTTTATGTTGTCACTGCAGTGTTACAATAAAGTCTTTTGTGACTATTATGTTTTTCACTTTCTTATTCATGCCTATCCTGTTGCTCACTGATGAGGTTTTGGCACTGAAAACTACTCAGCATGTAAAGCATGTAGTGTGTTGTCACTTTAACAGAGCCAATCAGGGGAATTCACAGCACACTCTAAATAACAACTCAGGTTTTTCTCTGCTTGGACTGACCCAGGCTGTGAGAGCTAGTGTGACTGGCTGCTTTGCGGTCTGGCTCAGCTCCCAACATGCAATGGCACGTATGCAGCAACTGTGCCAATCAGCTCCACCCAGCACCACAAACTGCTCCACCTTTCCTCCTGCAGGCAAAACAACAAACCACTATCACAGTTAGGCTTAAGCATAGATGCTAAAAGACACCTTGTGCTTATGTAAGCCGCACTGTTTAAAAATATGTGACACCCTCAGAATGAGACTGTGATGGGGTAATAGAAATCTCTAGTATTTATATTTTACGACTCTTGGTTATCTTAAACTTCTTTCAGTAACCATGGGTTACAATAGTGACCAACACTTCTGATGTGTGTGCCTGCAGCAGTGCTGACATTTCATCCTGTTCTTGTTCTGTGTCTCAGTGTCGCATCTGACATTTTAAACTCTGGGGACTTCTAGTGGCTAACACACAGCAGTGTTTAACATATTCGCTTTACACATGAAAGGATCCTGGTTTGAATCTGAGAGCAGGTACAAAACCAACCTTGAGGGGTCACATGCTAGTGCAAGTCCCAAGCCTGGATAAAAAGAATGGTTGTGTCAGGGAGAGCATCAGGTGTAAAATCAAAACATGTGGATGTGTCGACTGCTTCAACCCCTTGGGAAACATAGTAGCAGCAAAAAGTAGCTTCAGACTCTTAGGACTTCACAGAATGACAATTCACGTCATTTATGAACTCTCATTTCACGTTTTCAGGTGACCTACATCAACTTCCTCCCGGATGTTTTCAACAAAATAATAATAATAATAGAACAAAAGCTATACCACTACAATAATCTGGCAACGTAAAACCCCCAAAACAGTGCAGTTAAAACAATTAAATAAAATATTAAAATAAATTAATGTTAACATGTAAACTTTGTATGTATGCATGTGTGTAAACTTACAAAGATTGACTTTCAAACAATTTTAATAACAATTCTTGAACAAAAATACAGTTTATTACATTATCTGTCCTTAATATGTATTTTATTGTGACCCCATTTCAGCATCTCTGCATGAGGATAAAAAAAGTGTCCTTTTCAGTCGGAAGAGAAAGGTCTGAGTCTTAGTCACAGCTTCTATAGTTTGTCTGTAGCTGCCGTCTGTCTGAAGGAGGAAGCAGCAGCATCTGTGGGTTTTCACACTTCTCTAGAAAACAGAAGATCTTTGAAGAAAACATGGTGCACAGTGTGTGTGTGTGTGTGTGTGTGTGTGTGTGTGTGTGTGTGTGTGTGTGTGTGGTGGGTGGGACTAAGAGAAGCTGTGACAGATGAAGTGATTGTAACTGTTCAGTAGTGAATCAGTGTGGCAAGATGAAGATCTTGCTAAGTAGCCTGCTTTTCGCCTCTCTCTGTACCCTGTCATCCTGGAGTAAGTAGAAACACAACTTAGCAAATTATTTAGTTTTTATACCATTCCTCTCTAAATGGAAAAGTTAAGTTTTCCTAAATTTGTTTGTGATAAATATTCAACCGATAAATGAATGTCTGATATTATTTCTTCTCAATATGTCAGTGTTTAAAGTTCTTAGTTCTAAAAAGTGAGACTAACTTAGATCTAGAATGATTTATAAAGATACAAGGCTTTTTAAATAACAGATGTAAAAGACAACAAAATTATTGTCATGACATCTTTATTCCTGGTGTGCATTTACTACCTAATATTGTTATTTGTTTTCTATAAAAATCACTATAATGTTTTTAGAAGCATGTCTGTGTCTGTGTAGGCTCTCAGCCATCCAGGTCATGGTAATCCAGGGATGTCGGACTCCAGGCCTCGAGGGCCGGTGTCCTGCAGGTTTTAGATCTCACCCGGGGTCAACACACCTGAATAAAACGATTAGCTCATTACCAGGCCTCTGCAGAACTTCAAGACATGTTGAGGAGGTCATTTAGCCATTTCAATCAGCTGTGTTGGATCAAGGACACATCTAAGACCTGCAGGACACCGGCCCTCGAGGTCTGGAGTTTGACACATGTGTAATCTAAGGATATGGAAGGAAAAGTGACTGAACTACTTAAAGTTTCTTGAAGACATCAGAAGCTTCTCTGATGTGAGCTGAAACATCTTTAGGAAACCTAAAAAAGTTCAGTTGCTTTTCTTTTCATGCTACTTGAAAACATATCTGCATACTGTATTTGTACCAAAACCCTGATGCTTTTAGCTTTAGAAATCATGCAATATGTGTGGTCTTGTAATGACTTATGTTCCACTTTGTGTCTTACAGGTGTTTCATCAGGCACATTTGTTGTGACACAGAGCGATCATGTTTTTGTCAGGAAAGGAGAGACAGTAAACATCACCTGCTGCTGGAAAGGGAAGTTTGAAAGAATTAGAGTGAACTGGCTTAAAAATCAAACAGAAATTAGGAGTGATCAGCCTAATGTGTTTCTGAAAAAGGAAGAGAAGAAATGTTATTTTTTGAAAATCTCAAATATTAGACCAGACGATTCAGGGACGTACATCTGCAAGGTGACTGTGGAGATACCATCTTTAACTGAGGCTAAAGGAAATGGGACAGTTATCACAGTCAAGACAGGCAACGATACTGGGAACAACTCGCAAAGTGCACAAGGTTCAGTATGGTGACATGTTCAAATCCCTTTTTACGAGTGTAGTTGATATTTAATCAATATCAACTGCAGACTGAAATCAACTGTACTGTCACTGTCATTTTAGGTGGCTTGGTAGTCTTAATAGACAATTAATACAGTTTTTATCCCTCTTTTAAAAAAAAAATAAAAATTATTACACAACATTTTACCATGATAGTACCAGAAGGCATTGCATTTTTACATGAGATAGATGGATGTAATTATTATTATAATATTATTACAAATTTAACAGATTCTTTATATCCTGGGAATCCAACCAACGTGATCATTTCCCTGGCTGTAGTGGTTCCTTTGCTCCTCGTCACACTCGTCTGTTACTGCACTCTGCGAAGAAAACAAGGTACCAACTTTAAATGAATACTAAAGCATCAGAGACACAGTTATGAGTGGTGGACTGAACAAAAATATTTCTTTGTTACTTGTGTTTTTGTCTATACATAAAGACACGTTGTATTTAACTCTTTTAACCAAAGAACATGACACAGGTATCACACACAGGAACACAGGTTCATTTTAAACAATAAACAAAATAATCACTTGACTATAAATGTGCAGTTGTTTTATGATGAGATAGTTCTCTGTGATATACCTCAACCACTGTACCTTGACATTATTACTGGACTATATTGGAGCCAATTCAAACAAGTTAGGAGCTAATATTTCCATATACGTAATAAAAAGTTGGAGCAGGAAATGCACGAGGATTTTAAAAAAACTGTGTGAGTTTCTGTACATGCTATTTGAACAGCATTCATTTAGTACCTTCTGCAGTCCGCATTTTTCATCACGCAAAACTATTCCTGAAAAAGAAAAGGTCCAAACAATCTGCATCAAAAGCCTTGAAATTAGGACTCGTAATGTGGAGGCTGACACTTTCCTCACTAATACATTTGCACAACTGTCAGTTTGCATGGCAGCAAAGTTTAAGTGTTGTGGTAAAACCGATGAAAGAAAAATAGTAACTGAGCCACAAGGTTTTTGTACTTACATTAAACTAAAACCAGGTGTGAACAAACACGTCTGTTAAACAAAATAAAACTAGCCTTTAAAAAAGTACTAACTGAAACTATAGTGTACACTCACAAACTAGTAAGTAAAAAATAAATTAAATAAAAAATATATATGAAATGTTTTTAGCTTGATTCTTCGACCACCTGTGTTTACTGGGACTTGTTTAAGATAAAGCGCTTTGAGTTCTCAGATAGAGTAGAAAAGCGCTGCATAAGAAACAGTCCTTTTACCTGTTGGCATCTTCATGGCTGTGACTCAAAGACCTGCAAAAAGTGCTGCTTGTTTTGTAATATCTGTCACTCCTGACACACTCATTATATTAAATACAACAAAGCTGACCCTGACATGAGAACATCAAAATATTTTCAAATAAACTAACTAAAAGGAAGAAACTAACTGAATCTAAGAATCTACACTTAATGTAAAAGTTCTTTGAGGGATCAGAAAGAGTAGAAAAATGCCTTTTATTTATTTATTTGGTATCAAGTCAACTAGTATACTAAATAACAAATGTAATGGATTTTAATGCTCCTGACTGATAAGTTTTTCAAGGGTTTCATTAGAAGAAATATCTTGATACCTGGAAAATAGAATAGAACCGAATAGAATAGGACTTTAATGTCATTGTCCATGTACAACGAAATTATGGGCGTTCCACGCCAACTGTGCAGGAGTGTAGAAGACAGCAATAAATAGCAAACAGAATGATATAAACAGTGTAGATGAATATGTAATAGAAAAGCACACAATCAAAGAGCTTGGAGGTAGTTCAAAATGAAAATGGCAATTTTCAGAAAGTTCTCCTACGGGATCCTCTGTATAAACAACAACATAGACTGTCTTACAGAGCACCAAAGTCTATCATATATGTTAGTGGCGGAAAACAAATGTGAAGTATATTTGAATGTAGTTGTAAGAAACCAGTTGGAACACAATGAGATTTATCCAGGTGCTAGCTTCATCTCATCACCTTAAACAGTCAATATGAAGAAAGTAAACATCTACTTTTTTTTATATTTTAGAAAAATATTTTGACACTATCAGTTCAAATTGAATTGTCAGTTCTTGTAACCTTATATTTAAAGTATGTGCCACAACGGTGAAGTTCCCATAGACTCTCTTTAAATACCAAACAGCAAACGATTGTTTGCAGCAAACAATTCTATACACATCACAACTCATGTGGCGCTCTTACAGGAAACATTAACACATTGTGCAGCACAATGTTAAACTATAATACTCTGTGCAACCCACTGTAATGAAATTGGATTGGGTAGGAGTAATCTGTAATTTTGAACAATCTGTACACGTGACAGCAGCTTTCTACTGACTGAAAGATAAAAGAGCTGCTAACAGGAGGCCTGGTTGTGATAACAAGCAGAAAACTTTGGGTTTTTGGATCACATCACTTTTTTTTTCTTTTTGTAAGTACCCTACCACTTTATAATAACATGCGTTTTTACTTTATTATATTTATAACACTGAAAACTCAAAGTCGTTCTACACTACAAGCTGCATTCATACATTCATTAATACTTGATTCACTAGGAACAATTTGGAGTTCAACCTCAAAAGAGCAAATTTCCTCTTGATAGATGATCTACTCATGAAACAAGTCTACATTGAAAAACAACAACAACATAATAGTGTTTCAATTAGAAATATTTGGGGCTGAAATTGAATAGCGTTGTGTGCCAAGGATAATGTTTTAATACACTAGGGTTGTGAAAAAGGCTGCAAAATTGTGTTATCAAATAAAGAATGCAATAGTTCAAAATGGTTTAGTTTTTAAACTGACTGCTGGCATCAGATTAAAGAAGAAGCACATGTAGATATGGGCAAATCTAAAGTCTGATTTAATTAAAAAGAGGAAGCCAGTCACTGAAGAGCAGATGGTCAATGAGCTGAGACTGGCACACGATGATAGCTGAAACAGCTGGTTCAGATACTGCTGGAGGTGAGTAATTGATGCAGATATGGAAAAACAAAACACTGTGGTTGGTGCCGTCTCCTCACAGCAGGAAGGTTCTTGGTTTGAGTCTCCACAGGTGCAGAAGTGAAGTAGATAAAGTGTGAATTATTGTAAAGTCCATTTCATCCCATAATAACAGGATGCCACAGTTTAAACACTGACAGAGATAAGTTTGTTAAAATAAAATGAAAATATAAGGAGGGATGAAGTATTGTAACATGTTTGTAACATTACAGTAACAGTAACAGAGACCGAAAGGATTAAATGCGGCTCCCAATTAGGTCATTATTTTAAAAAGAAAATGCAATTTAAATCCTTGTAATCATTTCTATGTGGACGTGTGTGTTTTCAGCACTAGCAGCCCGAGTCATCTACGAGGTTCCCCACGTAGACTCCGAGATGGCAGATGCAGACAAAGACAGCACAAGCTCCTCCAGAGGCTCGTCTCAGTGGGTGAGAACGGGGTTCATTTCAGGGTGATGTTTTAGTTAGTTTAGGGGGACAATAGGAAACAGTACTGAAAATCATTTTTAAACAGTCCAAATACATGTTGATCCATTTTCACTGAGTTATTCACGGTGACTTCAACATTGAGACATCATAAAAATATAACTGACATAATGTTTCTACCTAACTATGTGTTAAACTCAGATTGCCTGTTGAGTTTTAGGTTGTGCATTTTAGGAAACACTGACCTGTGGAGCGCCTCGGTCTGTGATGTCTGACTGATGAGCTTCTTCTTTATGTCCTTCTCTTTCAGCGGCAAGTGCCTCTGTATGAATCCTTCTACTTCGAGCATGTGGATCCCAAAGAAAGTAAATGAGTGTCGGCTCCAGAGTTTTCTTGTGTACTTTCTGTCCTGTATATAGCATATTTTTCTTACATTTTTGCATGATTGCAAAAAACCCCATATGTGGTTGTAAATATGTATGTATTTTTCTATAAACTACATCTTAATTAAAATTAATTTCAGTGATGGGGTGTTAGTCCCATAAAGCCTGAATCACAAAATAATAATATGTTTATGTGTTTATTTAACCTTCTGACAAATAAAAAAATAAAATAAATGATGAATTTGCATAGTTTTTAATTTGTGGCATCTTTGCTATATTCAGGATTTTTGTGTAATTTCTTGCTTAAAAATGTTTTGTGCAATTTATTTCGGTATTTCAGGGGGAAAATCACTCTGATCATGCAGACATCATATAGGATACACCCAAAATCACAGGGTTATACACTGATAATGGTACCAGGCAGAATTTGATCGGGCTAAAACACGATCAGCAACAGTGAGGGTTAAAAATGCGACACTGAACACGCAGGTTTCGTAATGATTACAGCTTACGATTAGGATGCTGAATGGAAAGTGTGGTGTTCAGGGGTGACTGTATAGTAGGTCAGTGACAGGAAGTGGAAAGTACGCCTGTGACGGGCGAAGGTTTGCTATGTGTGTGTTTGTCGTATCAACCATACAAAACTTGTACATCTCAAATAAATCTGAGACATTAAATGCATGTCTCTGATATTATAAATGTGTCCTCATCATTCAGTACATCTTCTCTGTATTCATGTTATAAGGTCAACGTTTCAGTGTTTTCACCATGATTGAAGGCAGAATCAGACCAGTTAGCGACGAGCTCCTAAAATACCTTTTCTCTGAACACTGACCTCCAAGTTGACTTAGCAACCCATTTACATACGTGATGTTTATAACTATAAACATTTTTCTCATCCTGGTTCTTGCTGGCTCAGTGCTCCCACAGTACAAGCTACAGTCACACATTTATTCAAGCATTCAGAACAATTTGACAACAATTTAAATTTGCCCAAGGAAATCAAACCAGCGGGTTTCCTGTTTTTAGATGACCTACCTAAGCATCTGAGCCAAATGTCCTAGTAACATTTGGTGGTGAGCAAAGACTGACAGACCTCAAACTGCAACATATACTATTGCAGAAAACACGAGATGCTTACATGCAGTGCTCCGTCTTTGGGACAACGACGGCATGACGATTGTCACTGAAGCATTTGATGTGTAATTGAAGTGCAGACTTTCAAGGTTTAATTCAAACTATTTAAGAATTACACCTATGCTTTAATCCTTGGATGAACGAACAGCCAATGTCTGCCCAAAGTCTTTAGCCATTGGGCTGAATGTCTGCTTTTTTGCTAAATGTTCTAACAACTGAAGTCAAAGTCAGCTATTGTCAAAGAACATATGTACAGTCATACACAAGAATTTGCTCCCATGGTCCTAAGTGTAGACTCAAACAATATAAAGATTAAAAGATGAAAAATAAAACAGGAATCTTATGTAAAACACCATACAATACAATACTATCTTATATAAACAGCAGTGTCCAACTCAATCATAGTGATTGTGGGCAAGTTCGCGTGGGTGTGCAAGTGGGGGGTGGGGCAGTCAGTGAAAGGGCAATGGTGGTGGTTCAGAGTTTTATATGTTTGGGGGTTGGGGGTTTCAGAGGAACGAGGCGAATGCAGGTCTGGGGTTCATGTGTGTGACAGCAGGGAGTGAATTCAGCATCCCGACAGCCTGACGGACGGAGCTGTCTCTATATCTGCTGGTTCTAGCCCGGAGGCTCTTCAGTTTCCTTCATGATGGCAGCAAACTGAAGATGCTGTTGGACGGATGAGTGCAGTCACCTGTAATACAGAGGGCTTTCCAGATTAGGCAGATGCAGTAGCTGTCCTGGAGAGAGGGAAGAGAGGTACCCACAATCCTCTCTGCTGCTCTCACTAGCCGTTGTAACTTTTCCGGAAGGACCCAGTGCAGGAGCCATACCACACAGTGATGCAGCTGGGGGTTGAGGCTCTTGCTCTCCTCAGTTTGCAGAGTCGCTGTTGGGCTTTACTGACCAGTGATGCTGTGTTTTTTGATCAGGAGAGATCTTCTGAGATGTGCACACCCAGGAACTTGGCACTGCTTACGCTCTCCACAGCAGCACCACTGATGGTTAGTGGGGTGTGCAGGTGTGAATTCCCCTGAAGTCTATGATGATCTCCTTAGTTTTCTCCACATTCAGGGACAGGTTGTTGTTGCTGCACTACTCTGCCAGAGGGTTAACCTCTCACCTGTAGTAGGTTTTTATCATTGTGGCTGATGTGACCTACCACAGTTGCATCATCTGCAAACTTGATGAAAAGGTTGAAGTTGAGTGATGGTGTGCAGTCGTGGGTCAGCAGAGTGAAGAGGAGGGGCCCCAACCCACATCCTTCGAGAGTCCCTGTACTTGTTATTGTGCTAGAAGTGTTACTGCAGACCTTTGCTGTCTGCTTTCTTCCTGTCAGGAAACCCAGCAGCCAGTTACAGCCAGTAACTGAATAGGCCTGCAGCTGTCTCATGAGTTGGTATGAGTCAATGACCACTGCGGATATTATTCCCCTGTAAACTTTATACTTTATACCGTCCAATACCAATACATAACCCCCCATGGACGGTTCCGATTGGATTAGCCCACACAGGTGGCTCATAACACACAAATGGTGCATTTAACCAAATGATCTACAGGGCCTGTCCGTATAATTGAGCTGTATGAGATAACAGAATAAAATGTTTTATGGATAGTTACAATAAAAAAGCAAGCTAGCATTGGATTAACCCCCTTTTTAAAGTCCGTCTATAATAAAACAAGAATAAATGGTTTGTGCAGATGTCTGCACAAATACTGTACACACTAAGAACATTACTTATCTGCTGTACAACATTTACTGGTAACTTTGTTACTACTTTGAGTAAATGTTTTCTCATGTGATTAGTTAGAAGAAACACAAAACTACACCAATCGACGACGATGCCGATGATAAAAGGGTGTTTCCTCAGTCCTTAGTATAATGAGTAACAGATGCACCTTGCTCCAGGCTGTTAACTCTGCCTGTGAAACCAAACACTAATATCAATAGTTTTAAAAGTTTAAACACATACATTAAGTGGTAGGAGACCAGACAAATGTTTTGTCTGTAAACCTTTTTGCATCATAAAATAAAAACAAATATGTGTCAGCACCAGAGATGGGCAGTAACACATTACTTGTTACTTGTAACTTGTAACTTTTTTTCAAGTATCGAGTAATGTAAGGGATTACTATTGCAAAAATGGTAATTAGATTACCGTTACTTTCATGTAAGCACTGTGTTACTAAAACCGTGGTTTTTTGCGAGAATGTCTCATGACAGTGACGTAAGCGAGTGCGACGTTCGTGACAACAGCTGTGTGCAGATCAACAATGGATAATATATCGAGTGCGGGAGAGAGTGTGAGCGTGCAGCGTTTAAAGCGTGGAAGTACTGACCTTACTTTGAGTTTGATTCCATAAAAAGTGACAAAAACATTAGTGTCCGTTGTGCGTGGGAAGACAACTTCTTTTTACAGCAAAAAAATCCCTAAACTTCCAAGCAAGCACCGAGTGCGCAACGACGTAATGAGAAACTCACAGAGAAACTTGCGGATTCTTCCACTGACCGCTGCGGCACACCTGCACCAGGATAAACCTCCGCCTACGCCACTCCTGCTTTACAGGTGAAAATAGAGCAACAGGACCGCTAGTCTTTGATTTTATTTACTTTCTGCTGTGTTTTACTTGCATCTATTTGAAAGAGTGAGTGTAAACACAAAAAACTATTTTATTTTATGAGCTGGAATGTGCAGAAAATAAGTTTAAATGTTAAACAAGTTTCGTCCAGTCAGAGAATGTTGCATATAATAAGTATAATATAAGTCCATCCATCCATTCGCTTCCGCTTATCCTTTTCAGGGTTGCTGGGGGCGCTGGAGCCTATCCCAGCTGTCATAGGGCGAGAGGCGGGGTACAATATAATATAAGTACAATATATAAATAATAAGTTTTTGCTTGATGCATAAAGTTAAAAGATTTAAAGTTTAAAGTTTTAAAAAGAGACTTTTCCATTTGATTACATTTTGTATGATGGATTATGCAGAAAAAGTAGAATTGGGCTGAAAGATCTATCACTTTATTACCTATTCAGGTTGTAAATCGTGTTTTTAAAAAGTAACTAAGTAACTAAGTAATTAATTACTTTTGAAAATAAGTAATCAGTAAAGTAACAGGATTACTTTTTGGGGGAAGTACTCAGTAATTAGTTACTGATTACTTTTTTCAAGTAACTTGACCAACACTGGTCAGCTCTACTTGCTCTCAGGGTTAGTGGTGTGTCACTAGTGCTATAAAATAGAAATCCATTTACTGTTACAATTTAACAAACTAGCCGTTGTATTCTGATTTACCGGCACCTTATAATCAACCTCGTCCTACTGTAGATGTGCACCCAGAGAAGTATCACCTATGGTGCAGTCGTTAATTCATTTCCAGTTTCTTTGAACCTTGACACTCTCTTAACAGTTTTTATAGTTTACAAAGGCAAAAGTAGCCCATCGTAGGTGTGATAACGAACTAGCCTATGTTTGAAGTATGGGCAGCACATACTGCCCATACTTCAAACACACGCGCCATGAGAGCTCTGTATGTGAGAGTGTGCTACAACACTGCTATAAATATATAAGTTGTAATAAGTTCTCTGAAAAAGTTTTCAAAAAGAAAAAAAAAAAGCTTTATTCACAGTGAAACAAGTGTTATTTCCTGTGGCTGTAGCTTCAGATGTGTCAGGTTAGAGAGCCACAGGCCCAATCTCACCCTTTACAATTTCACACCTCCAGTATCTTATAGTGTGATCTACCTTCTTAATCTGGAGGTTTGCTACTTGGTCATCTTTCAAAACATACTCTGTTATAAATTCCAGCAATTAAAGAAAAACAAGAAAGGCGGAAACATTTTAAAATTGGTTAGAAAGGCCTGAATGAAATTAAAAAGGAATTGGTGCAACAGCAGGTCTAAACTGTCCCATCCTTACATATAATCATTTAGGATAACTCTTTATTGTCATTGCACAGTCACACATAGTACAATAGTACAATGAAATTGTAAAACTGTCCCACGTCGGCACTACGTACAACACAACATGACGCGACACATGACAACACAACACAGTAACTTCACTTAGTAATAAAATGAACAATAAGTGCATGTGTATT